ATATATGCAAAATAACATGTCTTAAGTACTTTAACCATGCATGTTAACAAGTGCACTCTCAGATCCATTCTCACATAATTGTCAACTAACTACAAGAACTAATTATGAGTGTGGGTTAGGTTTAATCTCGATTTAGCGTAGTGCAGATAGGTTAACTCACTCAGGCCCATGACAAGAGGCCCAAGAAAAAGCTGTTATAATAGCTGGGGTCAAAAGAACAGAGCATTCTTCTTTCTTGTGAAATCTTATTCTTTTTTTTTCTTTCTTGTTTTGGTTTTCATGTTAAGATTTCATTCCAAACTACTCTACTGAAAACAGAAGCTAATCCAAGAACACAGGAACAAGACAGACAAAAGAATTTTACAAGAGAGACGAGATACGGCTAAAGTAATCTTGAAATCGTGCTTAAGTGTAACAATTGAGTGAAATGCAGCAACTGGTTAAGAAAATGAGACACATATTTTCCTCGGGTTAACTCATATTGGTTCTCAGCGGTTTCGAAAATGGGTACGCTAATTTCAGCCTGATCTTGGTTTTGTTTCTTGGATGACAAGCTATTTGTCATTCCTTTGGTTTTTTATCAAGAAAGCATTACCCTTCTGGAAGATTAAGAAAAAAAATCTTAAAGAAAGAACATAACTTGTGGAGCATGCTATCGAAAAACGAATTTGAACATTCTAACACATATTGACATCAAACACACTAGTATTTGTGACATCCAGCTAAACATATATTACCAAATCTCTCTCCCTCTCTCTTGTTTCTGTTGTAGTACCAAATCGTTATGTGACTTTAGCAAGCAATCTCATTCTTTTTTTATCGGATCTCACTTGAAAGAAAAAGCTAGTCTTATGAGGATGTACATTACATCACATACTAGCCATTTAACACCTTGGTGCTTAGATGTCAAACACTTTACATTTTGACGTTCAAGAAAACGAAGATCGTCAGTCTGACGCTTATCAGTGGAAGATCAATCCAAAGATTAAATTCTGATATGGGCAAAAGGGTTTTGGATAGAAGATGTTTAACCTAGTGCAATTGATTCAGTAAATGGTGAGTTGTTGTAAATGTAGTTTATGTCCACATTAGGAGATTCTTTTCTTAAGAGATATCACATGTTCTTGTCTATGAACATGTCCTTATAGTCCATCACAACGGTTCATGTCCTTATTGTAGTCCATCACAACGTCCCTGCTCATAAGTAAAGTAGGTGGTCTTCTCAATGATTTGAAAAGACAGGATTAAGGTGGTCTTCTCAATGATTTCAAAGGACAGGACCACATTACTTAAAATTTCTGTGGCAAGAATTGAATTCCACTAAATGTAGCCTATCTAATATGAGTCATATGTGGTTTACCACTCATTATATCAACATCATGCAGATGAACTTTAGACACAGCCATGTGCTTGTTGATGCATATTCTCTAAACCAACCAATGGGGTTATCTTCATGTAGTGTTCTTTTCTATAAATACCCATCACTCTATTTCTTGATCTCTGCAAGTTCTCACACTTTTTTTAGTAAAAAGCAAAAGACTTTTGAGTTTCAATAATCTTTTCTATAAGAAGATCAAAATCCATGGCTATCAGAATGGCTCGTGTGCTGCAATCATCAAAGCAACTACTAAAATCGTTGTCACACTCATCAAACAATGTCGATATTCCAAAAGGACACCTTGCGGTTTACGTAGGAGAAAGGATCCAGAAGAGGAGATTCGTGGTTCCATTGACGTACTTAAGTCACCCTTCTTTTCAAAAGCTTCTAAGAAAAGCAGAAGAAGAGTTTGGGTTTGATCACCCAATGGGTGGCCTCACTATTCCCTGCACTGAACAAATCTTCATCGATCTCGCCTCTCGCCTTAGCACCTTATCGTGATTCACACGGACCAGTAGATCTAACCCTTTTTCCAGCCGTTTCTTCAAGACAAAAGAAGAGATGACCTCTCTCCCTAAATGGTAGAACTGTAGGAATCTTTTCTTCAATTACAGTGAAAAATCAGTGAACATTTTTGTACAAATCATATTTAAGTATTTAGTCCAAAGTGTCGTCATGGAATAAATTAGTCCCATCACACACAAACAACAAACACAACAAGATGTTGAAACAGAACAGAGGACAAATCTCATCCAGAAGAAACAATGTTGAAAATTAAAGCAAATTATTATACTCAGATCAAAGACAGAGAACTAAGAGAAACTACAAAACCATGTTCTTGAGACCAAACAAAATGAAGGATATATGTATAAAAGAGAGAAAAAAAAAACGCATAGGTAAGAGAACAAAATGACATGCCCATTGCTTTCACATGACTCCAATGATTCGTCTCTATCTTCTTCTCCTTGTCCCTTCTCAGTCTGATTCAAGTGGAGGATGGACTGACTTGAGTTGTTCTAAATCATTAACATTAAGATCCTCTACGTGGTTTACAAAGGTGCAGACGCTACAAGTTTTCTTAAACCCTTCACCAAAACCTTGGATTTCAACACGTTGGAGAGTGTTCCTTTCGGGATTGAAGTAGAAAACATAAAACGGTTGTTTAGGTGTATACTTGCGCATCGAAAACACTATCTCACCCGAAGCAGTCACTCCACCGATGGAAACGAGACGACGGAAGAATTTATCATCGCTCCAAGAGTAGGCATATTTAGACCATTCCTGTTTCTCAACATCCTCTAGAATCCACATACGCAACTCATTAATGGCATCAGCGACGACATTATCTTCCATATATTTGTCGACATCTATACCCTCCTCATAATAAAGCTCATAAATGTCGACGTCATCCTCCCAATAAATCACAGCTAATTTTCCCTTGTAGTTTACCAATCGACAAAACCTTTCTACGTCAATAAAGGTGAATGTCTCAGACCTAACATCAAAGCAAACTATCACATAATCAGACGTTACATCATGACCCTCATTAACGTGACCCCAATTCGACGTGTCACCTAAGTAATACAAAACCCCATTGATGCATACCCCTTCACTCTTAACATCATGTCGTAAGGGACAATTTATCTTTCTCCACGTCATCATATCTCCAGCTCCAAATGTAAGAATTTTACTATCACCAGGACCAGATGGATAAACCATGGACAATACCTTGTATTGCTTGTCAATGGGGTTAAACCCGAAAAAGCTATACGCCTTTCTGTAGGTATACCGATCAGGTAAGATCGCATACCGTCCTGTGATGGGGTTACATATCACAGGTCTAGCCTGGCCTCTATTACCATATAAATAGATCAAACCAGAGGCATAGCCAATTGTAAAATATTTTAGGTCATAATAATGATTGATCCGTAGATTGTCTGGAGAGAACTTCACATGAAACTCGGCGGCAGCTACAAGAGTCGACGACGATTTCTCATATGGATTCTCAAGCTGAGTAGACGAGAAGAAGCTCCACACACCACAAGATTTAGCGTTTTCGTTGCCGTTTTCTGCGATGGCGAATAAGAGGCGCGGGTTAGCGGTGAGATCATTCGTTATGGAATTTGAATTCATGATTGCCGATCCAACGAAGAGAGAGATTTGATAAGTAAGAAGACCTAGCTAGAGAAACCAATTAACAAAAGACCTAATAAGAGAAACGTAGCAATATGTATATTGAAGACCTAGAGAATTAACGCTGCCGTTTCTTAAATTGGAGAAGACACTTGGTGTCGTTTTATTTGCTCGATGAAACTTTCCTGCCGTTATAAGCCACTTGAAGCAGAAGGGGAACATTGAGACATTATTGTATTGTTGCGGACGGACAAAGCTCAGTTGGTTTTTCCTTCGAGGCCAAGAAACAAAGTTTAAACCAAAGTTTTAATGTGCATTTGCAATCAAACGTGTTTTCCAGATATGACCAGCCAAAATTGCCAATAAAAGTTACCATTTTGAGTTGATTATTTGATTTCAGGGTCAGAGTGTATGAAGGAAATGAGAGAGAGGCCGATGAGGCCGAGCCATCTCCAAGAAAGAGAAGAAGAAGTAGAAAGGAGTCAAGGCCGAAGTCATGACCAGCTCGAGTTTATCTTACCGAAGGTGATAAATTGATTCTCTCCCCGGATAACAGATTCAAGATATAGAGCATCAATGGAGGGTTTTGCATCCACGAGTTAGCTCCACACTCCTAAGGTTGCAATCTTAAATCTCTAATCAGTAAAGGAGTTCCAGTAAGGTGTGTCTATAACACTCACCTAATAGCACATGGCTTTGCCTCTCTTGACTTGATTGCTTTTGAATTTGGCAGACCAAGATGGACCCTCCGATTCAGATGAGGCAGCTGGAGTTTCCACTTTTAGACAAATCCATGTTAAGACCGCGGTGTGACAATGGGTTTGTGATTCTTTCTGTTCAACAACTTCAAAGTCTCCCTGTGCTACTGCAACTGCAATGTCCCACCATGTGAACTCTGCCTCTTGTAGGACACAGAGCAATCTCCATTCAGAGGTTCACCTCATTGGTTTATATATACAGAGAGAGTACCAGCTTTTCATCTCAAAACAAAACCAAATCATAATCAATAACTCAGAACTTGGACACTAAGTCTTTTTCCCTGATCCATCTGCAGAAATTTCATCAAACTTTGCGAGAAAAATGGCTATGATGCGAGGTCTTTTGGCTGCAAAGAAGATTCTAACAAGCAAAGCAGCTTTGACACCAAAAGGATTTCTTACAGTATATGTAGGGGAGAGCCAGAAGAAGAGATATATGGTGCCAGTTTCATTCTTGAACCAGCCTTTTTTTCAAGCTCTGCTGAGTAAAGCTGAAGAAGAGTTCGGGTTTGATCATCCCATGGGTGGCTTGACAATCCCTTGTCCTGAAGATACCTTTGTCGCTATAGCTTCTCAGCTGCAATAGTAGAACCAAACAGAGAAACATTTTTTTCTTTTACTAGAGAATTAGAAACCAATGTATATATATACATACCTTCTTTTTCCTCTTTCTTGTTGAAAGAGTTGTTCCAAAGGAGAGAAATTTAATGGAAAACACCAGAATTGGTATTTGCCTCACATCATTTTTATTCATATAAAAAATCTCTCAACAGCAAACGGATAAGACGTTAGATCATATCTGCCCCTAAATCATTACACACAAAACTACAGAATTCAAAAGGGGAAATTCATATAATCAAACAATGTCTGAACACAACCAAAAACTCATAGACGAGATCCAACACTAACACATGTACTTGTCAATCCAACACATTTGATCCTGACCCTAAATCTCCACTTGGATTGTGGATAGGATTTGCCAATTTCTGAAGCTTCATATCCAGAAATTTGACGGCTGAGTTAATCTGTAAGAAAAGAGCAAAAGCGGATTGAAAAAAAGGAACTTTATCGGATTAAGGATGGAATTGGGAAGAAGAAAGCTAACTGATAGTGAAGCTGTCTGAAACAGAGTCTTCGTCAATGGAACTACACAAAACCTATTCCACCAGATACTTCAGTTTCCAAGAACAAAACTTTCCAATGGAAAAATATAAGGGTTTCACTTACATTCCTCTGCCGCCGGCGAGAGCTTCCTCCGATGGGTCCTTCCATTCGTCGACCCTACAAGCCAACACAGAATCATTATATCTCCCACAAGATTGGAAAATGGTTTTAACTGATAAAGATTGAGAATTTTACACCCAGCCGTATCTGCGGTCAAAGAGAAGCCGTCTGGATGAGCGGTTAGATGCGGTGGCCGGCGGTTCCATTTCTCCCGGTGTAATAGCGTCGTCACCCTCCGACCGATAGATAGAGAGAGAGAAGGAACGGTTCAGATTATATTGGGCCTACTCGTAATTAATCGGCCCATTTACGTATACAGACATAAATATTAGCCCAACAATTTACTGTGTCTCATCATCATCATCTTTCTGCATTTTCACATCACAACGTTTATTCGTTGGTGCTTATGTGGGAGGTGTGATATTTTACTCTGCTTGGTGAAATTCACAGTAACTTTACGGTGAGAACAAAGGAGAATTAAGCACAAGTGCAGTGGAAAAATCATTGGCAATAAAATTCAAGGGACTCTATGATGACCCACAAAAATATACAACACAGTTGAAAGAATTAGGATTTGGCCTGAGAGAGTAACTTGAGAACAACCTGAGGCTACTCAGATTAAACAAAGCTTGAGACTTATCTTCGTGTTACAAATGTTATAAAGTGTCTTTATCTTTCTTTCTTTCTTTTTTCTTTATAACTTACACAACCCCAGATGGAAGCCGTAGAACAAGCTGGCCACCGAAAACACTGCACAAGGAAGATAGATCAAAGAGCTGAAACAAACGAAAAGAATGAAGAAGCTTTTGTGGAGAAAGAAAAAGAAAGTACCTTTTAACATAGTAGTAACAGAAATCTGCCAAGATGAATGTTTGGACGATTTCTGAGATTATAACCATTGATGGCCATAGTCCATAACCCAGCACTACAAGCAGGCGTCCGCCGGTGTCCATAATCTGTTTGGACACAGAAGACCAAATCAAATTTTATGGGCTCAGTTTGGAAAAATCACACAAACAAACTTGAGAGTTGAGAATATCATATCTAATGGGGATATTGTGGACTTGCTCGAATGCCATAAGCATAGGATGTCAGAAATATTTGTAAAGCCATAGATTTATGCGAGAGAGGGAAATAACAAATTAACCAATTGATCCCAACTCTCTGTTGAAGATAAGAACCTACCTGTAAAACCCAGTGTGCACAGCTAAAAAATCTTGCTACTCCAAGTGCAAAAACATAATGAGCCGTGAAGGGTTCGACAATCTGAATGCACCAAACATATCAGGGATTAGACTTGTTTTTTAGTACTCAAGTTTCCGAAAGCAACCACCTTAGAAAATACATACCTTTGTGTTCTGCATCACTCTCAGCTGTGGCAGTACTGAAACAGCTTCGAGGTAAACACAGAAACCCCAGGATATTCTATTCAATATATTGTGTGACGTTGATGGATGAATCAATACAGCTAGCACGACACAGGGCACGAGCTGCAAAAAAACAAAAGGACTAAAAACTTAATATTCATGAATCCTTAAGTTATTGCACCAATCTAAAAGGCATGTAATGTGCAGATAAACCAAATTTGAACTGATACAAATTACGAAGTAACACAAGTTATGGGAAGCTTCAAATGAACAACAGTAATAAGCACCCTCTTCATCTGATCTTAAAGGTTAAGGCTTAACTAAAAAAAAAAGACATTTAGCTGCTTATATAACCAACATGCCTAGTAAGCATAGAATCTAAGTAAAAAGATCAATACTGAGAAAGACATACCACATAATAGAGAGCAAAGTTGTCTTTTTCCTCCATGTAAGTAGCTTTGAGCTTAAAACGGATCATGTATATAACCCAGAGAGTTGTTCCCAAAGTAGCCAAGTCCAGAATGGTATGTATATCATATTCCATTACAAAACTACAATAAAGCCTCACAGCTAGAAATATTGCAGTAAGCTCCTGAGATTTCAATGACAATCCTACAAATACCCCCAAAAAAGGTCTGTCATTACTCATTAGGCTTAATCTGTAATAAGAATGCTGATTCACCTACATAACCGATTAAGAACTCATTTTGGAGAATTGGGTACTCAAAAGTTGAATAAAGTCTACATTTTTATATCTCAACACAGATCGAAATTCCTTAGTTAAAGCAATACAACTGTGCCCTAATCACCCACGAATGAATTGAACCCTAAAATGAAGTCAAAGGAGGTTGTACCAGCACAAGTCTTCTCCTTCATGAGTTTATAGATAAGAACAGAGATTCCAATAGAATGAACAGCTTCGGCGGCAACGAAGAGATTGTCGTGATCGTGAACGATGAATCTGAGGAGAACAAGAGCCGCCATGCCAGATACGACGGCAAGGAAAGCTTTCACCTTTGGCGGCTGCCTTCTCACCCATGTCGAAACCGCGTGGATCGGAGTCTTCATTTTCGATTCCTTCTTCTTCTTCTTCTTCTCTTGCTTTCTCGGTTAAGTGACGACAAAACAGGTAAATCTGTAAATTATACGATAACTCCATTTGTGACCCACACTAAATGGGCCGGGTCATAAAAACCCGTTCTAAGCCCCATAAGAAACTATTATCTGTTTTTTTTTTGTTACATTGTCTATTTTTTTAGGAACAAATTCTCAGGGCTCCTCAAGCTCCAAATTTAGTCTCAAATACTCTTCAATGGTAGAAAGACAAAATTACCCTTAATGAGGGTTGATTTCGGGTGATAAGGATTAAATACAATTAAATCGGTAAGTGTTCAACGAAAAACACAATAGCTCAGTGGTTGCGAGCTCCATGCGCACGCGCGCGCCCCCAGGGTTCGAATCCTTTTATACGGGTTGTAACTGGTACAACTAGGGATTATTCGGGAATATTCTGGTATAACTAAGTTGAAGTACAACTAGGAGGTACAACTAGGAGGTACAACTAGGATAGGTATACGTGGTACAACTAGGAGGTACAGTACAACTAGGAGGAGGTACAACTAGGGGTATACCTAGTAAAGGGGTAGTTTCGTCCTTTCATTAAAAGGAGGAGAGTATGTGGATTAGAGGAGAGTATGTAGATTAATTATTTGACTCTGAGGAGCAATTGAGATTAGTCCCCTTTTTTTTAAGGGTTTTATGCAAAAAAATTTTTTTTGCAATTTTACACTTTATCTCCAAAAAATGAATATTAATCTTACGAATTCCAAAATAAAACACAATGTAACCTTTATTCGCTACCGTTAAGTTCGTAAAATTTTGACAAATAATATGTCAAATCGAAACTCTCGCGATGAAGAGTCCAACTCTACAATATACGTATAAGAATTATATTGCGTATTATTAATCTGCATTTTTCGGAGATGAAAGTTAAAGTTGCAAAAATGGATGAGTTGGAGAATTGTTTTGCATAAATTTTTTTTTTTAAACATAACTTATTAATAAAAGTAAATAAAAAAAACATATTATTATCTCCTTCTTTTTTTGGGGCAAATGCACAACCCTAAACGTATTATTATCTCTTTAATCAAATGCACATTTCATTTTGAGTCTTAATTAAACTGAATAAAATCAATTAAAAAATGGATCAATATTATTGTCTATGTACAAAAAGATCAATGATACAAATCCTTGGAAACGACATCTAATTATATATACAATGAGTGGAACAAAGTGAAGTGAGTGTCTTTTTCATGGTAGGCCACTAAGATAAGCTTCCTTGTTCTCATGTCCTAACCACCAATCACTCGTATCTCACACAAATCCGATCAGAATTTAAACATTTGTCTTGTTTTTGGATAGAGTTCATACGTACTAATCTTTTTTTTTTTCCAATTTACAACACTACTCGATCTTTAATAGTTACAAACTTACAATCATTTCTACAAAATCTACTTGTTTTATGTATATATATATTGCCATGGGACGATAGCGAAAGCTAAGCAAAGGAAGATCTAAGAAAAGAGTACAAGTGAAGATGATATAAACGCAAAATTAACATGACGAAACCAAATGCTTAATCAGCTTATTAGTGTCAATACGAATAAGTCTATCGTAATTAGATAAACTATGGTTCGACTAATCCACGAATTTACATATGTAAATTACCACATATATTCCTTCGTTACCCCACTAGCTAGTACTAATGATTTTTCTCAAAATAGTGGTATCAATATCATCATCGACCATAATAATATCATTTATAGTATACCTAACAAACCATTATCTCTCTCTTTATCTTTCTTTGTTTCATTATCTTCCTAGCTAGTAATAAATAGCATTTCACAAATCAATAATAAACCAAAGAAAACAGTGAGGGAGGGCGATGCATTACCACGGCTGCTGCTGCGGACGGTGTAGGGTATCGACGTCTCCGTTGCCGGTAATAGTCATGATCACGGTGGCCCTCGTCCTCTTAGCCCTTTCCTCCGTCGTGAAATTCGAAGTTGCTGTCTCCTCAGGCGAAGATGTGCTGAGCTGGCTCATCCTCGCCGCAATTCCATTGGCTCTGCTCTTTGCCGTGAGATGTCTCTCTTGTCTTGAAACGTCCAAGCGATCTACTTACTACTGTCCTTGTGGTCGCTGGAGATGCGTTTGCTACTACTAGTTCTGATCTCGCGGTTAGTGTTGTTGCGTTTGCGTTTGTGTAAATAAATGATTTCGTAAAATTTTAGGTATTCTTGATGTTTACGTGAAGCAAATATGAAATATGTGTGACGTGAATCACCGATTTTGGTGGATTTGACGAACGTGATAGATCACAATATTCAATTCTAATCTTAACCTTAGTTTATATTAATTTGTATGATCGTTCTTGCTAGCTATATCTTCAATCATACGGCGAAACTTTTTTTTGTCGTATTTCTTCTCTTCCAAAAAAATGAAATTTCCATTTTATAAACACTATACAAAATAATGGAATCGAAAATAATGAAAATCAAAATCTACGGAACCGATTAGTAAAGTTTATTGCAATTTTTTATAACCAGTATGTAATTAGAAAAGAAAGCTGTAAATTAACAGAGTAATTAATTATGTCATTTTGAGATTAGGCAGATTAGGTGCTTAGGGTAAAAGGTCAAATCATTTAACGTCGTCTTTGAATTTTGTGTTGCTTATGGAAGAAAGATGTGATCAATGATAACAGTTAAAGCAAAGGAAAATAAGGAAATTTGATAATGACGCTCCACCTACATATTGTCTAGGTGTAGTACTAGTAGCCCATTGGCCATTACGAAAGAGAAAAGCAACACAAACTTCTTACTCACTATTTAATTAGAAAATGACCAATTATCTGTATCCACGTTAGCTTTATATTATCTGTATAACTACTCATCTCTTACATTTGAAATTCCAAAAAACATCTCTAAGAAAAGAAGAGAAAAATGTAACTCTTATTCTCTTAAGATACATGGAAAAAATGGATCAAGTGAACGAATACACGCAAATACGTAAGAAACCGAGCTCATTTTTATAGTATCTAATAGTATGTCATTATATTTTATTTTCTAATTAGCAAAGAACTCAAAAGTGAAAAACCCTATTTATTTGCTACGGAATTAATATAGTTAATCCGATATAATATGCTGTTCGATATAAGTATTTTTAGTTCGATATTAGTCGATATAAAATCATTAGTCGAAATAACATGTTAGAAATTCTACATTATCTATAATATGAAATTTAAATTACCTACCTACTATATTTAAGAAAATGGACCATTCTACTAATCTTTAAATTAGATGCTAATGAAATTGAACATACAAACATTATATAATGTTTCATCTGTCGGTCAAACATAATAATATTATAACCTAAAGGCGGTTTCTATAAGTTTGTCTCAGACTCTCAGCACATAAAAGAAAAGCTTCTCTCAACATTATTCATCTATCATTATTATAGGAACTAACTATGGCTTATGGAGATAGAAGATCATCGATCTTGGATTCATTCTCGCTCTCACCACTACCATACCCAGTGCTCTTGATCCTAGCCGTTGCTTCAGTGTTCTTGTTGAGTTCATGGTACTTCAGCTTGGAAGATGCAGCCGAATCAGCTGAAGAACAGATAAATTTTGCTCTACTCTTGATTCCTTTGTTTCTTATAGTCTTGGTCCGGTGGTTATCTTCCATGGAGAACCCTGACGCGATTCTCGGGATGTTTTCGAACCGACGTCGGACGACTTACGTGAGTCCTGGAGCTGGAGATGACGGTGGAAGCTCGCCGTGGGGAGTGGCGGCGTTGATAGTTTTGTTGCTTGTATTGCTTCAGTATCAATCAAGTTTCTTGGAGATGTGGTTTGGTTAATGATATTGACAGGTTTTCACGTGTTTTTTGTTTTGTCGTTTAGTGTCACGTTGATGTAAAAATTTGGTCATTACTCCGAGGTTGAGGATCGCGTGGTTGTGTGTTATCCGATATCTCCTTCTCTTGCGTTTACACGTTGTCCAATATTATTGAAGGATAGATTCAAAATCAATATTTTTAAAAACTGCATTTTCCAAGAAGAATTCATACCAATTTACGATAAATTTTCAAATTTGAAAAAGACCCCCTCAAGGAAAAAATAATTTAGTATTGAGCACATCCTTAATTTAATCAATGCATGATATTCATATATATAGTTGTCACCACTAATTTACGACTCGTGATTATTCATAAACAAAAATGATCCACCGAACCGCTTGTGATGGTTGGCACTATTTGGCTCAAGAGCGTAGGTACGTAGACGACTCACAACATTTTTGTAATCAAGACTCAACATTTTTAGTTCGTTTTTCTAACATTTAGTTCAAATGTTTAAATTTATATATATGTCCGGTTTGATTGGCAACTTTTTACCGAAACAGTAAAGATATAACGTTTAAATTTTTTCTAAACATAATACATAATTTTTTTATTCGTCTGAATGTTCTGTCTATAATTTGTTTTTTGTTTTAAAAAAGTTTTAAATATATAATAAAGTGATTACCAATTAGCAGTATCAAATCAATAGAATCATTTAATTTATATTAGTGATTACTTTTATTGCACAATAAGAATTATATTCAACGTAGAATTGTTTTGTAAAAAATAGTACTCCCTCTGTCCCATTTTATTAGATGTTTAGACTAAAAGCACATAGATTAAGAAACAATAAATGTTTTCTCATTTATTAAAATTCAACCAATAGAAGAAAATACTGCATAATTAAAATAATTAAAAACTATTAAACTAATATAAATCATGCATTGAAAGTAGAGAAAATCTTATATAATGGAACAAATAAAAAAGCCTAAAACATCTTATATATTGGGACAGAGGGAGTATTTATTAACTTGACCCAATAGGTTTGGATAATAGGTCAAAACATGTCCATGAATTACGAAAAAAGGGAATGCAGTAAAAAAATCCAATGAAATTTTGATCGGCGGTGAAATCGGTGTTACATCAATATCTTCTACGAAAAGCGGATCCACCAAAAAAACTGTGGGTGTGGCCGAGAACTATAGCCATTGAACCAGAACGATGAACGAATACACAATACCTCATCATTGCCGGAGAAGAAAGGCATGTATTCCACCAATTTGTCGTTTAATCACTGGTCATCGATAAAAATACAGACGCAAAATAAAATATATCTAGATCTGAAAAATTGTCTACAAAAAGAGAATGAATAAAGATAATAAAGCAACGATTGTGCTCTATATAATTTTTTTTAGAAACATTTGAACTTTAACTTTAAATAAATACATGTTAAGAAATAAATGACAAAGATCTCTACAAAAATGGTATTACTATTATCCATTAGAAACGATTCTTGTTGCTCGACATATGAGATCAAAAATTTTGGAAACAAATTGTACAATAAAAATGCCTCTTTGTTGAGTATATAGTGACTAATTGTTGACCACATACCAATTTATACCTACAAATTTGGCCCTTATAAGAACCAATATACAATCAAAATATTTGTTCAATCTTAGAAATTAGTGCTAAAGAAACGATTCATTTTGGGCACCTGATCTTAGTTTGGAGTTTGGACTCAGAAGCGCGTGATAACGAGACGTGACATAGGCGCGTGAGAAACAGGCTTGGAACAATCTGTGAGTGAGAGAAAGACAAAAGTACCCTCGAGAGTAAGAGAGAGAGCACAACCACCAACCCTCATCGCCTCTATCTCCTCTGCTACCTTAAGCTGAGAGAGTCACAGTCTCGTCTCTATCTCTCCTCTTTGCCTTTTTTCCACTCACTACACGCCAAACCCGACGACATGGCAGCTACCTCTCTCACTGTCCCTCCTTCTTTCTCCGGTCTCCGGCGCATTTCTCCTAAGCTCGACGCCGCCGTCTCCTCCCACCAATCCTTCTTCCACCGCGTCAATTCCTCTATCCGCCTCGTTTCTTCCTCTTCTTCTTCTCATCGCTCTCCCAGAGGTGTTGTTGCCATGGCTGGATCCGGAAAGGTTCCAACTTTAACCCTTAAACTCTATATTATAATGCTAGATTCTCATTGTTTAGGATTGAGTGATAAAGGTTATTCCTTTTAGTTGCATGATTGGTGTCAGTAAGAATCTAGATTCTCTTAATTGATTCTCTTCATTTGATTCAATGCAACTTTGGTTTGGTTTGGTTTGCTACACCAAAAATGTGTCTTGAATGCTAGATTAAGGGTTTATGATTGAAGAAGAAAGCTAATCCTTTTACAAGAACAAGAATCTCAATTCTCTTCATTGGATTCCATGCTTAGCTTTGGTCTGGTTTGCTATTCCACAATTTTATTGAATGCTAGATTCAGGATTTGGAGTGTCTTCTATATTTGAAGTTGTCTAAACACTTGCTTACTCTGTCTCTTGTGCTGCAGTTTTTCGTTGGAGGAAACTGGAAGTGTGTAAGTACAATGCGCAAAGTCTTTCCTTTTCTTCTGTATCTTTTCTTTCCTGAAACTAATGTCTATTGTGGCATGTGTTTTAGAACGGGACTAAGGACTCCATCGCCAAGCTTGTATCTGATCTCAACAGTGCAACCTTGGAAGCAGATGTAGGTGAGTTTCTGCTACTTTTCCAATGATTCAAGCTCTATATTTCGGACATTACTTCCGTTTCTGATTTGAAAATTGACCTAAGCAAGTATTGCCTTCTCAATTCCATCCATTTTAGATTGCCTAATTAAAGTTTTAAGGACCTCATGTTGACCATTTGTTCTAAATGATCGTTTTTGTGTGATCTGTGTAGATGTTGTTGTGTCACCTCCATTTGTCTACATCGACCAGGTCAAATCCTCGTTGACAGACCGTATTGACATATCAGGTCAGAACTCTTGGGTTGGAAAAGGTGGAGCCTTCACTGGTGAAATCAGGTTACGATTTCTCTTATTCACTTATACTATATCTCTTTTTACTGTATATGATTGAAAAATTCGGGTAAAATGTTAGAGCTTTGCAACTAATCCCACCTTAAGACTTTACGTTATATATTATAAACCTAGTCTGAATTTCAAAGTCACCCGTTTCACCATACAGCGTGGAACAGCTCAAAGACCTTGGCTGCAAGTGGGTCATTCTTGGGCATTCCGAACGGAGACATGTCATCGGAGAAAAAGATGAGGTCAGTAAAATAGAGTACTTTATTAGAACTAGTGAGTCATTAAGAAAGGATTGTGAAGACATGTTTGCTCTGTTCTCAACACAACCATAGTTTATCGGGAAGAAAGCAGCTTACGCATTGAGTGAGGGTCTTGGAGTGATAGCTTGTATTGGGGAAAAGCTAGAAGAGAGGGAAGCAGGAAAGACATTTGATGTTTGCTTCGCACAACTGAAGGCGTTTGCTGGTAACACTCTTGTATTTTCTTTTATTACCCTCTCCTGTTCCAAATCATGTCTGAACTCAATTAACAGCAGTAAGTTACTTGTATTTGCAGATGCTGTGCCTAGCTGGGACAATATAGTTGTTGCATACGAGCCTGTATGGGCAATTGGAACTGGTAAAGTTGCATCTCCTCAGCAAGCACAAGAAGTCCATGTAGCTGTCCGTGGTTGGCTAAAAAAGAATGTCTCTGAAGAAGTCGCTTCCAAAACGAGAATCATATATGGAGGTGCGTTAGATTAGTTATCCACCGCAAAATGAAACTTTATGTTGATAATTTCCTTCTCAATTGCCAGGTTCTGTCAATGGAGGCAACAGTGCAGAGCTTGCCAAAGAAGAAGACATTGATGGATTTCTTGTTGGCGGTGCCTCCTTGAAGGTAAAGTAAAGTTTAGACCTTTATGGATATGTTGTTGATGAATAGAAGTAAAGCTCACACCCACCTTTGCTGTGACTCTAGGGTCCTGAGTTTGCAACCATTGTGAACTCAGTCACATCGAAGAAAGTTGCTGCTTAATTGAGAACTATCAGTAACGGAAATCGCTAGTCTCCATGGAACAGATGAGATCAGAAATAAAAGGGAGGTTAGCGACCTTGTTGTTGTTGTTGTGTTCTTACTTCTTCTTCTTCGTGAACTAATAATGGAAAACAGAAAAAAATGATTCATGAGCTCTGGTTTGACAGAGAGAGATAAAAGGGTCTTTGATTAAAGATCTTTGTAACTAAGCTGTGATTCTCTTTTCACTTTGAGTAAGCTTAACTCAAGAGTTTCTTCTATATAGTACGAAATCAAATCTCAAGCCACAGTCAAAGCGCTCGATAGTCCTGACAGAGAATGGAACAAATAGGAATGGAGAACAAGTTTTAAACATATGGTGCATGTGATGGAACAAAAATATTGAAACAAGATTTAACCATGAAATATTCATCTTCACAAACATACCACACTCCAAACCTTGAGCCATAATGCATTCATCACTCAGATAAGTCGCAACTTTAGTGTGAATAACAACTCACTGTAAATCGCAACACAGTCTCTCCTCACAAGTCAGTGTAAGTCGCAACACAGTCACTCCTCCAACCGGATCGCTCCTTCCCTCAAGAACATAGCCCAAAGAATGGTTCTCTTGTACTTGGCTCCTTGAACATGCGCTTCAAATCAAATCTTCAACTCAACTATTTGGAGTGTTTAAATGAATGTACTGCTTAAGAAGGTACTGATGTGTCATCCATGGACATGCCTTCATCTTTCATATAGAAGATTAACAACACAAAACGGAAGATCTAAACCATTTATAAGTTAAGTGGTTTCATGAGGAGAATATTTATGACAAAGAAGTAAAGATTGTCTAAAGAGTACAATACTGGAACCAAAAAAAAGTGTACGTTTAAAACCCTAAATTTCCTCAAGACTGAACTTAAACTTGGAAACTCTTTCAAAACGCCGAAGCTGAGTCTATAACAACTGGAAGGAGCAAAACATATCTTTTAGTTCTTCTTGTTCTTCGATTTCCCAGACAATGTCTTGGCCAAAGTAGTCCCCTGAAGATATAATAACACACGGTTCAATCAGATTATTCAATCACAATGAAGAGGCAGAAGAGTAAAATGAGAGAAGCAAACCTCGAGCCATTCATCGAGTGATGCATCT